CCTAGTCATTGTCCAACTCTCTGATGCATAACAAGTGATTGCAAAGACTATGGCCTGTATCAGGCGCACCTTTGTCTCCAAAGAGACACCGTTGCTCTTGCGTACTTTAGAGAGGTCCCTAACAGCAGACCTTCCCATTGCAATACATTTTTTTTATTTCCTGGAGGCTGGTGCCAAGAGTGTTGACCATGGAGCCGAGCAAACAGAAGCTGTGAACTGTCTCAATCTCTTCGCCATCCATCCTGATGCTACCGATTGGTCCAGTGGTGAAAATCTTTGTCTTCTTGACATTGAGCCTCAACCCATACTGAAGGCTGCAGTTCTTGACCCTCTGCAGCAAGTGCATGAGGTCCTCCTCAGTTTCAGCAAGCAGGGTTGTGTCATCTGCATAACACAAATTTCTGACAACACTACTCCCCTAACTGCAGATTTTCCCACTGCAGTCTCCTTATTTTCTGACTGCTCATACTAAGGGTTTTAATTGAAGATCCAAGCAAGATGAAGCTATTGACAGTTTCAGTCTCTTCTCCATCCACAATGATATGGTCTATTGAGATGCAATCCATTCTGAAGGCTGCATTCCTTGATTTTCTGCAACAAGTGCTTCAAATCCTCCTCACTTTCAGCAAGCAAGGTTGTATCACCTGCTAAACACAAATTATTGATGAGTCTCCCTCCAATCCTGAGTCCACACTCCTATTCATAGAGTCCAGCTTTTAATGCTCAGCATTTTGATTGAACAGGTATGGAGACAGAATACATCCCTTACGCACTCATTCCCCTATTCCAAACCATACAGTGCTCCCCTGCTCTGTTCGCACAACAGCATCCTGCTCCAGGTATAGTTTCCTCATGAGCATAATCAAGTGCTCTGTGATTCCCATTCTCCTCAATGTCAGCCACAACTTGTCATGACCCACACAGTCAAGTGCCTTTGCATAGTCAAGAAAGCACAAATACACATTCTTCTGGTATTCCCTACTATCAGCCAGGATCCATCTGACAGCAGCAATGACAACCCCGATGCCCCAGCCTCTTTTAAATCCTGCTTGAACTTCGGGCAATTCCCTATGCATACTGTTGTTCCAGCCATTTTTAATGATCTTCAGCATATCAATGATATTGTTCAATAATTTCCACATCCAGTTGGATCACTCTTCTTGGGAATAGAAACAAATATAGACCTCTTCCAATCTGTTGGCCAGACCGCTGTCCTCCAAATTTCCTGGCATAGACCGGTGAGTGCATCCAAGGCTGCATTTGTTAATTGAAACAAGTCTATTCCTATCCCATCAGTTCCTGGGGCCCTATTTTTTTGTCAATGCCTTCAACGCAACTTCCACTTCCTCTTTTGTCACCATTGGCTCATGGTCATATGGTACTTCCTGAAATTTGTCAATCTTTCTGGTATAGTGACTCTGTGCATTCCCTCCATCTTCTTTTGATGCTTACTGGGTCATTTAATACATTGCCCATAGCACCTTTCAATATTGTGACACAAGGCCTAAATTTGTTTTTCAGTTCTTTCAGCTTGATCAATGCAAATTGAGTTCTTCCCTTTTTATTCTCCAATTGGAGCTATCTGCACATTCCATTATAATTCTTTCCTTTGTCTTGTCAAGCTGCTCTTTGAAACTGTCTGTTCAGCTCTTCTTTTTTTGAGAGTTAAAAAATAACATTTTATTAGTTGATAATGAGTTTTCAGAGATTAATAGCACAAACAGAAGTATTAAGGAGCCAGTAAAGTCACCCAAAACAGCCAAGTCAATTTCTCAAAATGAACATAGTTAGATCCTGAATCTTCTAGATGCATGCTTTCTAGAAGTACAAGAGCACAGGAGAACATTGTGCTCTGGCAGGAAAATGATGTTATCACCTGTCCCATAGAAAATGATGCTATCACCTGTCCCGTAGACAAGTCCCTTCTGGAAAATTCCACCTACAATTGTAAAAGAATAAGATCGAAAAAAGGTAAAAAACATAGGGTTACTATGACAATAGTTTGACCTTACAGACCGCAGGAAAAGGGCCCACTAGGGATAAGCCAGAGGTGTTCTCCACCCCCCACTCCAAACATCCCCCTCTTACCCTCCCACCTCCACCCCTACCTGCCACCATAGAAGTGGTTTCTGCATTGCTTCATCTGCATTTTATAGCTTCAGGCTTCAAAGCATTTAGGATAGCCATTGACTTTGTTTTGGTTGGTACTGGGGCTTCACACAGCAGAATTTGATGTTCATACAGTATGCGTAGACCCTTTCCTTCTTGAAGCATTTATGGCGACAGTTGCCATGAAGATTCCAGCATTTCTGGGTGTACCCTGAGGTGAGCTGAGACAGAAGCAACAGGACAGTGAAAATCAGCAGAAGGAACCGCATGGCTGGTGGTGGCCCAAGGTGAAGCCCAGAGTCTAACGTTAGGGCAAGGCAAAGGTGGGAGAGCTCTGGTCACGCGCACAGCGTCTGTTTCCTGTGATGTTATTGTGTGCTGTTGAGTTGGGAGCAACTCATAGCTGACCCTCCAGCAGCTTTTCAGAGGCTGTAAATCATACAGGAAGAGATAGGCCATATTTCTTCTTGGAGCAGCTAGTAGATTTGATCTGCCTGCACACAAAATACTTTTTGGATGTTTGGGCTCTTTATAGCCTTTTCCTTTCTGGTCCCTACAAGAGAAAGCCTGTTCAGCTCTCTTACTTTAATGTGTTTTCCTTTAGATTTGGCAGTAGTGGTAAGGTGGTAGAGTTTTATGGGCAGAGGGAAAGATTAAAGGAATTAGGAAAGATCCAGTGGGTACCTGAAAAGATGGAGAAATAATAGGCTGAGATCAATGGGGATTAATTTTATAAAACACAATGTTTGGGAATGATAATATGAAACACAATGTGAATGGAAAAAAGTGTGTGAAATACAGTGTATATGAATGAAATACAGTGTATACAAATTTTGTATATACACCAATGACAGCAAGCAATAAATGTTGGAGAGGATGTGGAAAGATTGGAACTCTGATACACTATTAATGGGATTATAAATTGGTACAAGAACAAAGTATCTTTGAGGCTCTACAATTAGATATGTGTGTGGTGGGGTGCATCAAAGTATATATTGGGAGAATTGGAAAGGAGTTGTCAATGGTAAATTTGAAAATATAGTAAAAGATTTGTATTTTGTATTAATGAATTTGGATTCTTTTTATCAAGGTAAGTGAACCTTACAATTATTTGAATCAAGAAAGTGATGGAATCATAGCTACAGAGCTTATATTATGTTTTATTATATTCTCCTTCTACATACTATGTATATGCATGCTTCCAACAGTCTTAAAGTAATGGACAAGAAGAGATGAGGTCTTCAGGGACTTAAACCCTCAATAAGGCCAAAAGGATCGTCTTCTGTAAAGCAAAGGAATGCCGGAATCTACATTTTTATCTTTTTGGTGATTTGTAAATTTCATACCGTACCAAGATTAAATTAAATTATATGCAGAAAAAGTATTTTAAATCAGATATCAGCTCCAGGGTTATTGAACCATTTTCCATCTCATTTTAGAACGTAATTGAAGAAAACATATTCTGTGTTGTACACCACTTAATTTCTATTAATAATGGAACCCTTTTGGAGATGTCCTTGGCTGACTTAGAATTGTCTTCCAAAAGGAGAAAGATAAATAAAAAGTAGATTGTTCATCAAATGACATTGCTTTTGTCTAGAAACATATCCCATTGCTGTTGAAGGTTTAAAAAAAAAAGTTAAAAGTCCTGAATTGCCTGAGTTGCATTTTTCTCAGATGAATATATAATAAATCATCCTCAAAGCCTGACTGTATAAACAAATAGTTTCTGTTCTAAAAAGGGCTTGCTCTGAGGCCCAGAGAATCAAAACAACTTTCAGGGAAATGAAAATAATATTGTCAGCCTTTATAAATTATCTCTTGGACTGCAATAATAAAAAAGCAATGCCATCTCCTGTGGTCTATACTTCCTGCCTGCAGATACTAGACTGACCTAGAAGGAAATACTTGTCATCCCTGACAACCCATCTCTGAGAGGAAGAGAGAAGCAATTCTTGGGACCTCCCAAGCCCCACAACAATAGTTACTTGCTCCTAGCACAAACACGTCCCCAGAACAAAGAGCTGTAAAAACGTCATTAGTGCTGACTAAAGCAGAAAAATCACAAATGGCATTTCAAGAGCTGTAGCTTCATAAGAATAAATGGGGAAGAGTCTAATCAGAGTGTTAGAAGGTGAAACACAAATATCTAAGTCAGAATAATTAATTTTAGGAGATGAAGACACTAGAGAAGTTAGCACTAGATATGCTCAGCTCTCATTCATAGCAGCCTCATGTTCCTGCGCAACTGGAGACTATCATGATGGAGAGCAGACTGCATCCTATGCATGTCCCAGTCAGGCTGCTAATCTGGTAACCCTTGAAAAAAATGATCTTTCCAGTCACCGCCCAAGCCAGCCCTTTATTTATAGGGATAGCTTATGTCTGTGAAAAAGGGCACCAGTGGTGCTGTGCATTACGTGTGGGGCTGCTAACAAAAAGAACACACCAACTGCTCAGTGGGGAAAGCGAAGGCAGCCTACTCCTATACAGATTTATCACCTCAGAAATCTGATAGAGGGTGGTCATGAATCAAGGCTGACTGAATGGCAGCAGACTAGGTTTGATTTGAGTGGGTGAAGGAAGGAATCGGAAAGAGAGCTCCACTAGCAAACTCAGTTGGCAAGGCAGAAGGCTGCCTAACCCCCTTAGAATGCAGCTTAGTTCTCATGTGGGAATGTCTTGTAGGAGTCTACTCTATTTTAAATGAATTAACCAAATACTCCCTCAAAACACAAGCAGTCAAATTCAACTGAAGAATTTGGATTTTAAACAAAATATCTATTTCACCAATTTTACTTTCCCTGTGACATTTCTGGGAGTTCTGATGACCAGGTCCTCAGGGAATTGCGCTGCCAACCCAAAAGTGGTGGTTCAAATCCACCAACTGCTCTGAGAAAGAAAGATGCACCATCATTTCTGATGTGACTTACAACCTCTGAAAACCTGTTGAAGGGTCAACAATGAGTTGGTTCTGGCTCAAAGGCAAAGAAGTTGAGTTTTTGAGTGACATTGTTAGTGCTGTATTCAATTGCTTAATTGACCTGGCTCTGATCACAGCTGAAAAGCAGCTATACAGTCAATACAATTTATTGCATGTAGCATATTTATCAAGCTTATCTTCATAGCTGTCCTTTCTTACATGCTGACCTGAACATGAGAGAGAATATGGGGCATGGTCAAGATAAAATAGCTAATGGTAGAGCTGTAATTGCAAATCCCCCTTTGACTCCAGTTCCATGAGCTATCCATTAAGTCATACTTCTATGTTGGGACTCATAACACTTAATATATTTATCTGTGTCTAACGGTGTGTGAGTGACATGTTGACTACCACAGTGGGCTTGAACATGAGATATAATGAGAATGGCAGAAGATAGCGCAACTTTCAGATATGTTGTTCATAGGGTCACCATGAGTCATAGTCAACTTAATGGCATCTGATAACAACATCAGAATAGGGAAGGGTGTGGACCAGGGATGTGTCCTATCTGCATACCTTTTCAATCTATATGCAGAAGAGATTATCGGGCAGTCTGGGCTCTATGAGGAGAAACATGGCATCAGGATTGGAGGAAGACTCACCAACAATCTGCGCTATGCAGATGATACAAGCTTGCTTGCTGAATTGGAGGAGGATCTGAAATGCTTATTGCAGAAGGTCAAGGACCACAACCTTCAGTTTGGATTGAAGCTCAAGAACATCAAGAAAACAAAGGTTCTCACTGTTGGAACAATTGGCAGAGTCATGATATATGTTGAAGAGATTGAGATTGTTAATACTTTAGTTTGCTTGGCTCTACAATCAACACTCTTGGTACCAGCATCCAGGAAATTAAAAGACTAATTTTACTGGGAAAGTCTTCTGTCAGAGACCTCTCTCAAGTACTAAAGAGCAACAATGTCAGTCTGAAGACTAAAGTGCACCTGATCCCAGCCATAGTCTTTTTCAATGATTTGCTATGCATCAGAAATCTGGACAATGACTAGGGATGACAGAAGGAAAATTGATGCCTCTGAGCTGTGGTGCTGGAGAAGAGTATTGAATATACCATGGACTGCTAGGAGAACAAACAGGTTCATCCTAGAGTGGGGAGACCAGGCTGGTCCTTGGTGGCAAGGATTGTGAAGCTTTGTCTGACATATTTTGGACATACTGTTACAAAGTGGGATCAGTCTTTGGAAAGGGGCATCATGCTTGGGAGGGTGGAGAGACAGTGCAAGAGAGGAAGACCTTTAATGAGATGGGTGGATTGAATGACTGGGATAATGGATGTAGATATGTCAGAGACCATAAGATTGGCACAGGATAGAGCAGTGTTTAGGGATGTTGTACATAGAGTTGCTATGAGTTTCAGGTGACTCGATGGCACATAACAACAACAATAACAACATCCATGTAGTTTATCTGTGCAGTCATTACAAAAGGAGAAAGACAAAAGACAGCAATCACTGTCTTAAGGAAATTATAACTGAAAAGAGAACTTAGAGCTTAGTTCAATAGGTATTACCTCTTAAATGATAGAAAAGAATGCATATGCAGTCTAAAACAGTTCTTATCATATTAACAACCACTATGGCTATCAGAAGCACAGATTGTTATTGTTCTTGTAATGTTTCATGTAGCAGCTTGCCACTCATAGTGACCCTGTATGTACAATAGCTCTGAATCCTACCTTATCCAGAGCCAGTCTTATTGACTCCAACTCACCTATTCTTATTTCCCCAATTATTGTGTCAGTCTGTCTATCTGGGGTCTTCCTCTCCTGTGTTGTAATATATATGTAAACAATCTTTGGAATAAACTGTTTTCAGAGTCATTATTAATCCTGTATCTCTTTAAAAACCTTAAAATTTCTGCAGTTAGTTGGTTATTTATTTAATGTAATCAAGCTGAATATTGAACTGTAAGTTATGAGTAATTAGGAAAAAAACTTAAAAAAATTTATTCATAGTAACAGGAGGAAAATGTCTAAATCTTTTCTCTGTCCTATTTCCTTGCAAGTCAGATTTTCCTAGAAAGATGAAACTAGAAATTTAAACGAGAGTAAGATTTGTACAAATGAATACAAATCTGAAGTATAGATGCATTTTTAAAAAATATAAGCTGTATCACTTTCATTTATTCATGAACTACCTGGTATTCAGAACTAGGCTAATAAAAAGGCAAAATTAGCATATTAGAGTAAAAACCAAGGACAGTATAACTTTGCTTTTTTCTAATTCTAATCCAAAACATCCTACAGTCACCCAGGGGAAAAAAAGCCCT